ATCATTTGATCCACTTAAACCTTTGTTGTTCATGTTTAGTACTCAGGGAAATTCAACCAGGACTACAGAGGGAAGGGGGGCCCCAGAGATGACTGAAACCCTCACTTTTTTTTCTTTTTTTAAGATTTTGTTTATTTATTTTTAGAACAAGGGAAAGAAAGAGAGGGAGAGAAACATCAGTGTGTGGTTGCCTCTCACATGCTCCATACTGGGGACCTGGCCTGCAACCTGGGCATGTGTCCTGACTGGGAATCAAACTGGTGACCCTTTGGTTCGCAGCCCACGCTCAACCCACCGAGCTACGCCAACCAGGGCTGAAATCCTCACTTCTGATGCCACTGAGAACCCAAGGGGTTAGGTTTCTTGTCCAGATGCTAATTAGTGGCTGGATTGAGCATGGGGCCCAGGCCTCGGGGCTCCCGGTCTAGAACTACTGCTTGAGACAGAGGCCAAGGGGCTGAGACACGAATGAAAGGGGACCAGCTGCCGTCTGAGACCCCTCCGGAAATGATGGTGCTGCTCTGAAGGAACGCAGAAGTAGGCACGCCATTCTGACTTATACGCATTAAAAAAAACTGCTAATGAGCAAAGAGAAAGCCATATGTGGCTGACTCTGTTTTTCCTCCCGGGACAGCTTGGTGGAAACTCTACCTAAGCATCTGCATTACTCATTTCAGGAAGCGGGTGATCTTCATCGCAGTGTGGCCCAGGGGTTTGGCCAACGTCGCTGATGAAGGCGTGATGCTCGGAGACCACCTCCCGGTGCCTGCTGCCCTGTGTGTTTAGACAACTACACGGAAAGGGGCCTTTCTGCTCCTTCTTCAAAAGGGCCAGGCTTCGTGAGGCTTAGAATAAATCTCTCTGTTTTATTCAGGGCGGGGGGGGGGGTATGGAAAAGAATCTTCTCTTTTAAAGAATTTTTTTAAAAACAACAAATACTGCACAGACTTCAATTTACACCATACAGCTATCCCTTAAAGGTGGTGGTAAAGTGCATCAGAACTTCATTTGAATAGAACAGTCACACTCCCAAACCGTATTTTCAAATTATATTGGAATGCTGCGACTTATTTTCCTCCTCAAGTATATTTTTAAACCACTGCAAAGAAGTCATAAAAGCAGCCAGGCCCTGTCCTACAAGAGCGTCCTTAAAAGAACCACTGAATGATTTTGTGATTCGTTTTGTTACTTCGAGCAAGAACTGCTGGCAAGCGGGAGAAACGCGCCCCACTGGTGAGCAGCCAGAAATCACTGGTGGCCTTTGTTCCCAGACCTATGAGAGAAAGAAATGCTTCTGACGCCGTGTTTGGTCTTTGTACTTGACCTCTACCTGATTCTTCCCATCCCAAACAGAACCTTGCCTTTCAGGGACATAAACTTTTGTTGGTTTATATCAAGGGGTTAAACTCAATTTACGTAAACAGTCACGGAGTGTGTACGGTACCCAGCAGACTGTGACGGGCACAGGGGGTGATTTCCAGGTCATCGGGGTCGAGTGAGGGATGGGAACCGCAAGGCGGGACCGCGGTTTTGGGAGCCGGGTACGGACAGTTGGACCCATTTACCACTGAGGATCAGCGCCGCTAATGCGTTTAGTGTCCTGCCGCAGATCAGTTTATTTTTACACACTAAGCTCTCTGGGGCTAATGAGAAGAAAATTACTTTAAGCATTTAATTTATATGCTGAATTAGTGTTCTGTAAGCAGATTTTTAATCCGTGTGTGCAGACAGAGTGAGGGAGCAGGTCTGAGCTTTCGATGGGCTGCTTTTGAAGGGAACTGGAGGTCCGTGCACGCAGGAGGTTTGCATGGGCATCCATCTATTTTTTAAATTTTTTATTTATTTATCTTTAGAAGGGAAGGGAAGGAGAGAGGGAGAGAAATATCAATGTATGGTTGCCTCTCATGTGTCTCCTGCTGGGAACTGGCCCCTGCTGGGAACTAGCCTATAACCCAGGCATGTGCCCTGACTGGGAATCGAACCGCAATCTTTTGGTTCACAGGCCCGTGCTCAATCCACTGAGCCACACCAGCCAGGGCGACATCTATCTATTTTTTAGCTATTGAAAATTTAAAAACACAGATTCTCTGACCCAGCATTCTGCAGAGTTAGGACTAGAACCTACAGATATGATTTCCAATGCCTGCCAAGAATATAGATAGTCGCAAGACTATTTTATTTTTTGTAAAAGCAATTAAAAAAAACAGATGACTGCTTAGATGAATTACAGCACACCCACGTGACGGAGTGCTGCGAATAAACGGAAAAGCATAGATGATTTTTATGTGCCGACGTGGAAGGATCAGCAAGGTATATACTGTTGAATCAAAAAAAGGGGAACAGACATATGCAATGCACACGACATTTGAAAACGAATGTGCCCACAGAAACGTGGAGATATGCAAAACATTTTCCTGGAAGAAATCGCAAGAACGTGTGAGCAGGCTGAGGAGGAGTGTGGAGAGTGGGGTGCAGGGAGGGAGATTTTAATGTTCCTTTCTGTGCAGCTAAGAATCTTAATCTCATACATGTACTTTTAAAAAAAGATTTTATTTGTTTATTTTTAGAGAGAGAGGAAGGGAGGGAGAAAGGGAGGGAGAGAAACATCAGTGTGTGGTTGCCTCTCACGTGCCCACTCCTGGGGACCTGACCTGTAACTCAGGCATGTGCCCTCACCGGAGACCATTTGGTTCGAAGGCCGGCACTCAGTTCCCTGAGCCACACCGGCCAGGGTGCATGTATTACTTTTACATTATTTTATTTTTTATTATTGGCAGGAGTTATCTAGACAAGGAGATAATCAGATATTCTCCCCCTCTTCTCTGCAATTAAAAAATATCCTAAAGGATATTGTATTTAAAAGAAAAAACAAAACACAACAGCAACTCAAAAGACATCCCGTGAATTATGCTTCTGGCAGTAACCACAGACAAGGGAGACAAGGGACAGACATGGTTTACTGTCCTGGTGAAAATGTATGGAAAAAACAGAAAAGATATAAACACACAGGCATACACACATTTTAAATGTGTCACTGAGTTGGCAAATTCACAAATAAGTACTAATAGATGCACCCTCACTAAAGAACATGAGAACTATTCTAAAGCACGTTTCAGATACAAGGGATATATGACTTCAGATGCTGAGATCGGAGATGCAGGAAGGAAGAGTGAGAAGAGAGAGCAGTTCCAAGTACACCCCCAGTAGACACTTTCGTGAAGTCTCACCAGCTGAACCTGGTTTACACGAAAGAATAAAGGTGCAACCATCACTAAGAGACTCCTAGAGGAAGAGAACAAAGTAGGAAGACTTCCCTTTCCGGACACTAAGACTTGTCAAGTTCATGTCCAGCCAGTAAATAACTAGCAGGGAAAAAGCAAATGGACCAATGGATGGATGAAGATCCTGCAGCCAGGCCCTTGTGTATGCGTGAAAACCTGATTTATGAGAGAGAGCACTACCGACCAGTGGGGAAATGGATGGTGCTGAGGTGTGAAAAGCAATACAAGATCATTAAAATTTACTGCATTAAATTAAGAGTTTTTGTTCACCAGAAGACACCATGAAAATACGACAAGCTAAGAGCTGGGAAAAACACTTGTCATCTGTACTGCTGAGAAAGCATTAGCCTCCAGAACAACCAACAGATCCCTGTGGTCAACAGCAGACAGCCCGGAAGAAGCAAGGACAGAGTCACGAACGGGGCCTGACAGAGGAGGACACACAGAGGTCCGTAAACGCAACAGCTCACCAAACTTCCGCAAGGCGGCAGGGTTTCAATTCAACTACAGCCCAGAGAGCAACCCACCATGTAACCGCCCGTTTGTCCAAACAAAAAGCCGTAGTAACGATGAGGACTTAGTGCACAAGGGGCCCTCTGCTGGCGGAAGGTGGGGTCATCCAACCAATTGGGAAGAATCTGGCATCCCTGGGTTGGGGCGCACACCTGCAAACCCCACAGCTCAGCAGTTCTCAGGAACCGCTGACTTGGGGGGTCAGAGGACGTGCAAGAACACGCAGCTCTGTTCGCGATCGCACAAAACTGTCCAGCGACCACAGACTGAGCGCTGCACGAGAACCCCCGTCCCTGCGTGAGAACACTGCCCTCTGGGCAGCAGGAACGAAACAAGTCCACGCAGCAACGTGGATGAATCCTGAAAATATTGCATGAGAAAAGCGACTGGGATATATGAAATAGGATTCTATTTATGCAAAGTTCTAACACAGGAAAACGAAACAACACGTATTGTTGAAAAATACACACAGAGGTGACGCACTGACAGAGAAAAGTGGGAGAGTAATCCAAGATGGAGGGGAGGGGCTTGGTGGGTGGGGGTGGGGGTGAAGGGGGAGGGTTGACAGGACTGGGGGAGGGGTGCCTGGCGTCCAGGGCACCTGTAATACTCTGGATCCTCAACTGAGAAGGGGGTACATGGGGGTACATCTCATTTCAGGCTTTAAGTCACGTAACACATTAAATACACCTTTTATGTATATGATGTGCTTCACGGGGAAAAAGCACACACGTCCTTCCGAACACAATGGGGGCCAGACCACACACCAACAGGAAAGGGAGTTATCAATGGATTTACAAGGTGATTCCCTAGCTTTCAATCCACTATGTACCTTTGTCAGAGTGACACATTGAGGCAGCATTCAGTTGAGCTTAGAAATACGGCTGATACGAAGGCACCAGAAGAGAAATACGGCCGCAGTGTAACATCGTAAACCACTCTCCTCTGCCTCTCACGTCAAAAACCTCAGTTACATAACTCAGTTAAACAGGGAAAGGCTGCAGGCAAGACTCAATGCGAAAAGGTGATACCATCTGCTAGAACCCATGAGGCCACAGACATGCCCTTCCAGTGGCTGAGGCCGACCATGACCTCTAAAGCACACTGGAAAAACAGAATTCTTCTGCCACATACATTGACCCGGCTTCAGAAGGACACCCGCTTTCAGCTGCTGTTCACGGTGCTGAACTCGTGACCCGTGCTCACCTGTGTTTGACCATTTTTTGATCGTGGCAAAAATGACTGAAGAATCTCGCATAGAACAAGTGCATGACGGCATGTTCTTTCCCTCCAATGTACAAATCCACAGGCATCCAGTAGTCGGCCAGCGCGGTGCGGAAGGGCCTGGAAGGAAGAGGGGTGGTCATTTTCTACAAGCCCGCTCTGCCGCGACACAGGAATGAGACAGGCCTACTGAAATTTGCATATGTCCCGGAATAAATCATGTCGGGGAGAACCAGGGAGTGCCTTTTTAAAGTACAATATGAGAGAATCCTTATATAACAAAGGAGAAAAAAATCAGCTCAGTGTTAATTTATAAAATTTATAAAACCTGTTTTAGAAGCTATTACTGATATATTTTAACAAATGCAATTTTTGTATAAAATGAGCATGGGAAGAAAATATACCAGTGGAAAAAAGCTATTTCTGTACAATGCATATCTGAATATCTAGATTTATTCTAATTTTTATTATGATAGAAAATTGAGATTTTTAAGTTCTTACCAATAGGGGGCAATGTGTCATTTACAATGGGGACCACGGTGTAGATACTACATGTTGATTTTAAAACAGAAATTCAATCTTACTTTTCAAATGCAGATAGTTGGCAAGAGCCTGTCTTGTACGCCTCCTGCATGCAGTGAGCAAATTCAGGGTCACTCAGAAAAGAGCCCCAAACTCTCTCTCATGTAACAGAGGTTCAGTCCACAGAGATCCCAAAAGTAAGGTGTGCGCAGCCTCTGTCTGGGCCCTCGGATGCTGGGAGCAGAGGAAACACCAGTTCCCTGTCTGCTTCCCGGGACTCCTGGAGGCGCGTGTCTGTGAGCGTGCAGGGGCGTGTGCGCACGTGTTAGCTGGGGCGGGGCTGGCTGGGGACGGACCTCCTCACTCCCCAGGAAGTGTAGTGCCTCCCAGGAGGCCAGCCGATGGATCTGCGCCCCAGGGTTTCACAGACACCTGACAGTGCTCTCCCCCGTCCCCACAAACACAGACTCCCCCCAGCACGCGCTGGCATCTCCCTGCAGCCTGGTCACCTCTCCTCCAGTCCCCGGGTCAGTAAAACTTAAAATCTTTTTTTCCCTTGGTGGACAATGGCTCCTCAGAGAAATCCAACTGCTAACCCAGATGCCAGAAAAGAAAGGGAAGTCACGGACGGGCCTCAGCCCCAACACAGGTCTAGGACAGATGAGGGGCTGGGGTGCTGCACTATGGAGCTAGGTGACTCTACAATCGAAGAAGAACAGCACGGTTTTATATGTATGTGGGCTGCAGGGTTTCGGAATAACTGTTCTCCCACAGACAGGAGCAGGCTGGCAAGGTCTCCAAACACGGGTATTTTTGCAGTTTTTCCTGTGCTCTGTAATAGTTTTGTTCTCGTTCCCTCTCTTTCCCTATCTACCTACTGCCCTCCTTCCTTTATTTATCTGCTTTTCCAAGGAAACGCATGCACACAGCCGAAAACCAAGGGGCGCTTAAATGCTAGCCCCTCAGAAGAGTGGTCTCCGGCCCCTTCCCCCACTGACCCCACCCCCAGCCTGCCCTTGGCCACTTGGAATCCCCTAGTGATTCCTGCTGGCCACTATTAAAGATACGTGTAGACTCTTTGTTGGTTCTCAATTTTACATGTTAACTGTTGACTGCATGAGAAGAGGTGACGTTTCTTAGCTCTCGGAAACCCTCCCCCTGGCCACCCCCACAGTTACATCATTAACTTCAGGCAGGTAAGTAACATTAGACCTTTAGAAAATGCACAAACTCGGGCCAATGCGGGGCCGGGGCTGTGACTACAGCACCTCCTTCTCTTCCCGAGTTTTATCTTCCGGTCCTTGGCGGCTTTCTTGGCCATGAAGAACAGAATTCAGTCATCTGACAACACGCCCTTTAGGAGATCTGCTTCGAGGAACACACGTCCCAGCAGCTCCATCAGGTGTCCACGCTGTTCCAGAGGGAGTGGAGCAGGGCAGCGTCATCGCTGCCTGACCTGGGCCTCCGGATGATGGGCCAGCTCCGCCCGGGGCTCCCTGTCCACCTGGTGGAGACGTTCTCAGAGCCACACGGTGGCCTGAGGCTCTTCCTGCCCGGTCTCTGTCCTTCCCGAGCTCCTTCCCAGGAGTCGGACTGCATCATGGTGTGAGGGTGCTCCCTGCCAACTCCCGCCCCCTCACCCTTCACTCTAACTGGGCACTTTCCCCTATAAACCTCTCCCATAGCTGATTCCACGTCGGTGCGTGCTTCTTGGAAGACCCAGCGGACGCACACCCCGGAACTGGGCAGGGCCCTCCCTCCCTACCTGTGAGGGTTGTGAGGGTCGGTGTATCTGAAGTAGTACCAGGCAGAATCGACAAAGGTATCCATCGTGTCTGTCTCTCTCTTGGCTGCTCCCTTGCACCTAAGAAATAAGTGGAGTCCATCAATTGGCTTCTTTTAAATATTAATGCAGTTTTCCACCAGCTCTCGAGAAAGCCATGGTAATTAGGAGGAATCTGAAATGTCATGAGAACAGCGCTGTGACTGGAAAACACCATTCGGAGAAAGCTCTCTTTTTTGTCTCGTCTCCTACATGATGCTTTAAAGAAATTCACAAAACAAAAGTTCAACCTTGAGCAATTAAAAGCCTCTTTCTCCACCTCTCCGAATTTAACCTGGTAGAAAACCTCACCACCTAAAATAAGATAAGTGTCTTTTTTGCTCATTAACTTCCATTTCAGGCACGTCAAGACTGCCCTCAGCCAACGCTTACTTTGTGATGCTTAAGAGGCAAATCAATTTATGAAGAAAAGTGGAAAATCAAATGTAGCAAGATGCACTAAAAATGAACTTAAAAAAAAAATCTTTGCTCTAGGGGTTGGGGTGCAGAAATCTACCAGGGTGACCTTGGAAGACAAATCAGCCTTGAAGCCCGAGGGCAGAGAATGCTGCAGCCGCCTCGTCCCACCTCCCGGGAATCGATCACGAGCGCCGCCTCCTGCTCCCTGACGAGTGGTGTCAAGGAGGTAGCCTAAAATCAGCCCTTGGTGGGAGTGCACACACGGCAAAAGTCGGCAGCACTGCAAACTGGAAGCCCCCTCCAGAGGACTATTCGGCACACACTTACCAACGTCCACTGCCCACACACAGGCCCCTGACAGAAGGGCAAGACAGACCTGCTGGTCAGGAAAGCGACCGGAGAGCCCTGCTGTGGGAGGGGCTGAGGAGAGCCAGTGACCCACATCCTAGAGGGCCATGCAGGGTGGGGGCTGGGTTACGGCGCCACCAGGACTCGACTACTGAACAGGCTGTGAAGCTCGTTCCTAGGGTGGTAGGCCTGGGCAGTGACAGAACCGGGCGCCCAAAGCCACAACTTCCAGGGTCCCAAAGAGGGTGCCCTCCGTCAAGCCCAGCCGAGGAGAAGGCTCAGCTCCCATGAGGGCCCCTCCAGGCCTGGGCCAGCGGTGGACGGATCGAGTGGCAGTGAGAAGCCACACAGCAGGACACAGCTCCAACCCCAGGCTCTCCCTTCACACACTCGGAGGCAGAACCAACCCTCCCCCCAAATGCGGCCTGTGGGCAGCGAGTTCTTGGCAGTTCTTGGAGGATGAGGAGGGACATGAGGAGCCCCAAGAAGTGATGAATCTTCTGCCAACTTGGCATGCAAGGGCTCGAGTCTGTTTTTAATTTTTAAATAAAAGAAGGGCTGCATTTCTATCTCGCATCATTGAAGCGGTTCACACTGGCTTCACAACCACCACCAAAGGAAACAGCCACCCCTCTCCTCCCACTCATTACACAGAAGTGGCTGAGCAGACGCAGGAGCCCCAGATATGAGGGGGTGGGTTCTGGGACTCCCCGGAACCCCCTGCACCTCAGTCAGGGGGCTCGCCCGGAGAGCAGTGGTGGTCCCTGGGGGTAGGAGCTTATCAGAGAGGCCCTCCAGGAAATCCCATTTCCTGGCCCCCAGAGCTGCCCCAATACACTGGTCTCAACAGTGTGACTCTAAATGAACGCCAGGTCTCTTTACTTGGAGAGCATTGAACTGGAACTCAGACGCTGTTCCAGGAAGCAATTAGAAGGTGAGGGTTCCTTTGCCTCCCTCACCCGTTCAAGTCGGGAGGAGAATTCGGCCATGTTGAGTTTCTTCTAAATGGTCCTGCTGGACGTAGAGACGAGCAACGCACTTTACTGCTGACTCTAACGCTGGCCACTACGGAAGAGGTGATTTGCCGGTGGGAGGGACAGTTGATGGTGACGGTGACCTAAGTATCATTACTGGCTCCAGCAGTGGTAACACTGACCCTGGAGGCAGGCCAGGGTCCTGTCTCCCCTGGAGCAGGCAGTGATCACACTTCACAGGTGTGACCTCATTTAACCCCCAGGGCCCCAGGGGTTTGAAGGCAGGTCCCACTCAGGACCCCATTTTGCAGATGAGTAACTTGGGTTCAGAGAGGTCAAGAAATCCGCCCAAGGTCTCAGAGCTGCAGGGCAGGAGACCCACCCTGTTGGGCCCTGGTCCTTGTGTCCTCGGCACAGCGCTGCCTGCTTGGCCACACTGGCTGGGGGGCTCCCAGCCCTGACTGCTCAGTGGGACCACCCAGGGCGCCCTGGCCAACACCAAGGCTGGGCCCTGCCCTCCAGGAACCTGCAGCTGGTGTGGGAAACCTTGCTGCTACAACGAGGCCCTGCCTGCCTGCCGGCTGGGAACTGGGCCTGAAGACCAGCATCGGGCAGGAGAGCCCTCTGTTACTGTGTATCAGCAAAGAGGTTGTGTTATTTTCCTCCTGGGTTGCTGGGGCAGGAGCCCTTGTTACTGTGTATCAGCAAAGAGGTTGTGTTATTTTCCTCCTGGGTTCATGTTTCTACCTGAAAATGGTCCAGAGCTTCCTATGTCCCTGCCTCCAAGACCCAGCTCCAACCTCAAGAGCACCTGTGTGAGGGTCTGGGAGGGCCGCCGGCCAGGCACAGTGGGAGGATGGTGTCTCACTCAAATTTACTGAATGCGGGAGCCACCGTGCGAAAATCGGTAAGTTCACTTAGTCTTCCAAGCAGCCCTTCAAGGGGACTGTTTCAGAAATCAGAGCTCAGCCCTGGCTGGTGTAGCTCAGTGGATTGAGCGCAGGCCTATGAACCAAACAATCGCAGTTCAATTCCCAGTCAGGGCACATGCCTGGGTTGCAGGCCAGTCCCCAGCAGGGGACTCACGAGAGGCAACCATACATTGATATTTCTCTCCCTCTCTCCTTCCCTTTCCCTCTAAAGATAAATAAAATCTTTTTAAAAAGTTAAAAAAAAGAAAAAGAAATCAGAGCTCAGAGAAGTCAAGGAGCTTTCCCAAGGCCATCCAGCTAGACGGGTCCGGCCAGGACTGGAACCCACTGCTGTCTGGCTGCCCAGCCTGGGTGGTAGCTGCCTAGTTACCAAGCGTGAACTCCGCTCCACGCTGGCAGGGGAAGAAACTATTTCCAAACACCCTCATCGTGCTCCACAAAGCAGAGAAAAACGGCTTTTCCGTCGGAGGACGAAGGTGAATACTGGAGTTTGGTATCGGTTACTGTTTATGTAATCAGCTGGCCAGGCATCATAAAAATTACATTTGCAAAGTGGGATTATGTTTTTCTGTCACCTCTCTGGCCTGTCACCCTGGCTGGTGTGGCTCAGCGGATCAAGTGCCAGCCTGCGAACCAAAGGGTCGCTGGTTCAATTGCTAGTCAGAGTGCACCAGCCTGGGTTGTGGGCCAGGTCTCCAGTTGCCAGGAGACGTGTGAGAGGCAACCACATGTTGATGGTCCTCTCCCTCTCTCTCTCCCCCCCTTCCCTTCTCTAAAAAATTAAATACAATCTTAAAAAAAAACAACCAACTCTGGCCCATCGCAAATGCATTGAAGAACGAGCCCCCTGAGCATGCTCACTGTGGTGGCTTCCACTCTGCCCCTCGTAATGCAGTGTCCACCGTTATCACGATCACTGGGCGTGAGAGCTCTGAGGCAAAGGAGGAAACACTTCCTCTCACCTCCGTGAAGCTCTTGGGACGACCCCGTGAATGAGAGTGGGCTGTCGGAGAGTGGCGATGACCACATGTAGCTTTCCCATCAGTCGGATCTGGTGCTTGTGGGAAAGATGCGAGGTGACCTGGCCGCTCCCCCAACTCAGTGAGGGGAAGAGGGCGCCCATCGCAGTGGCTGGGCCCCTGACTCCAGCCCCTTCTCTCAAAGGTCCCAAAAGACTGAGAGTAACTTTTCCGGCCTAGTAGGAGTACCAGAAAAAGGGCACAGAGTTAGATCCAGAGAGAAGGGGGTCTGAAACCCCGCAGGGTGCCAGGCCACAGACACAGCCTCGGCCGGGGACGTGGCGCCTTACCTGGGGCAGGGGCAGTTCACCCACTCCGAAGCCATGGCCAGCGGGGAGCCTCCCTTGCCAGTGAAGGATGTGATGCTGGGCAAGGTGACGGGCAAGTCCTCCAGGGGCACGGGCACAGGGCCGCAGGCCGGGCAGTGGACCATGGGGATGGGCGTGCCCCAGTACCGCTGCCGGGAGATCAGCCAGTCCTTCAGTTTGTCACTTGTCACATCTCCACCCACTCTCATCCTCCGGGCCTTCTGAGTCAGGGCTAGAAACGCTTCCTGCCGGTTCATACCTGTGAACTGAGAGGGAAGGAGATCCTGTCCCCCGGGCGCAGGAACAAACCCCCACTCCGCGCTGCCCTGGGACTGCTGGGTCACGTGGTCCTGTGCACCGGCTCCCATGACCCTGCGGGCCGTCGCCTTTGCGGCAGCCCCTTCCTCCGGAAGATGGTCTGGGAGATTACACTTTATGCCTGTGTTGGATAACAACGGACATAGCTTTTGACCCTAAAAGTGCATTTTCTTCTTCTGATTTTAAAAGCAATGAAAACTTTTGGGGGGAGCCTAGGCAATGGTCCACAGGCCGTCAGTGGACAGAGTGGCCCTGGTTCCGGAGCACCCGGAGTGCCGCCTGCAGGGACCACCAAACCCGGCATGTAGCTGCCAGTAAAGAACTGCAAGGTATGTAGTTTTAATGACTGCTCCTCTGCTGGGGGGGAGATTTCCGGAAAGAAAAATTCAGTATTGCCCCAAAGCTGGAATGAGGTCAAGCAGAGAAGGGGACTTGTGGCCCCAGCTTGAAGGGGCAGCCCCCTCTCTGGTACCTACCCCTCCCACTTTACACCCAGCAGGGCAGAACACTGACAGCAGGAAAGAGAGACTCTCTGCCCCTCCCCTGGCCCCCACCCACTGACACTTGTCTGAAAAGGAAACTAATGACAATGTTGGAGATGGATTGCAGGCACCTAGCACTGGTTCAGGGAAGGTGGTCCTCCCATGTGCTCTGGGTGGGGCCTGCGCTTGGCCCTGGGGCCCGCCTCCAAGGAGCCCACAGCCAACAGCTGGGAGGCGGCAGGCATAAGGAATAAGAAAGCACAATGATGTTTATGAAAAGCAGCTCTTTTCGTTAAGGCCCTGCAGTGTCCCAGGAAGCAGAGTTTTCCGGCTCGGTTCCGCCCTCCCTCGGGCATCTCCGTCCTGGTGCACATGCTCACAAGCTCTCCTGAAAGTCTCTCTTGCCCACGCATCACTGTACCTTCCAGAAGCTCGTGAATGAAAGATTTCCTGGAACAGATCACTTTTCTCAAGCAGAAGTGTCCCCAAATAAAGCTCAGTTACTGTGATAACCATACAATTCCAGACCTGGGTTCGCCTTAGAGTTGAGAAACTTCTAGATCTTCAAAGGGAATATTATTTTGCTTCTGCAGCTCCAGACACGGGGCTGCGAGGCCGTCAGGCCTGGGACGAGGGGGACAGTGGGCTGTCATCTGCCCCAAAGGCCGTGAGTCCCATCAGACTCACACCGAGGTCGTGGATTTAGAAGTAAGTGCTCAGGCACAGGCCACGGGCACCCACCTCTGCGGAGCCGCTCAGTCTCTCCGTGCCGTCTGGCGACGTTTCGATGACATGGGAGTAGGAAAGGCCCAGGCTCTGGGCCACGGTGGTGTCCTCTGGGCTGGTGCTGGGAATTCCTACCGAGAGGGGAAGAAACACAAAACGTCTCCTTTGCAGAAATGCCCAAATCACGAAAGAACCGCCAGCACCAGCCCTTAGCTTTAGTTCCTTCCAGGAGACGCCCTGTTTGTTCAAGATGGAAGCTGTAAAAGCCCATCACCCCACCCCCACTGGGGACAGAGCAGCACAGGCCTGGAGAAACCTGCCGCCCCAGCACAACCGGTTACCCGTCTTGGTCTTGTGTAAATGTTCTCCTTTCGCTTGTTTCTTTTTCAAAATAGCTGCAATTCTAACCTATACACTTGGGGTGCTTTCTGTCACTGAGTGAACCACAGGTCTCACGGGGGGGGGGGGGGAGCTCCTTCAGCTTTCTCAGTGACACAGGACAGTCCCTTCTCCTTAGAAGCTGGCTGGAGCCTCCGGCATGTCCCAGCACCTGCAAAAGTCTGCTCAGCCAGGAAGCCAGAGGCTGGCGACCGGGCCCCTCAGACTGCGCTCTGCTCCCCAGGCAGCGGTACATTCTGCAGAGACACCTACTCTGCCACACACGCCCTCGAGGAGATGGCGTTGAGCGTTAAGTGACTCAATCATCGGGGACGACCAAGGCCTGCTGGGCCGGCCTCCGGGACTCAGAGAAAGAGGTTCTTTGGTGCTTGGCTCTGTGGGGCTGGGCTCGAGCAGCATCCCCCCCGCCCCGCCCAGCAGTGGCAAACAAAAAAAAACGGTCTCTAATGTCGCCCAACGCCCCCTGGTGGCCACCTCGCCCCCCGGGGGGAGGACCCTTGCTTAAGGGTTGGCAGCGAGGACTGCTGACGTCCTTGTGGAAGCCGCATGTCCCGTGCATCTGAGAGGGGCCGAGCTCAGGGAGACCCCCGAGAATAAGCCCTCGGGAACGACGGCCTCAGTGGGGGCTTCACGCTGGGAGACAGGCTCTGGGGCTCCTGGGTAAGACGGAAGCCCCGCGGCTGGTGCTGCCGGCGAGCTCACTGACAGAGAACAGCGAAGGAAGCCCACGCAGGCTCACGGTGAACCCGAAAGATGCTGCAGGCTGAGGACAAGCAGTAACACCGCGGCACAGGGTTCGTGGCCGAGGAGGAAAAGTCATTTACCACCTTCCGAAAGTGTGCGGTTCAGACTAACGAGGGGTGACACTCACATGAGGGCTCGTGACATGGGATTGTCTGGCCACACAGAAAAAGCTCTGGGCCACAGCAGCAGTCACTTGGGCTTGGGACACTGTGCAGTTTGTAACGTGCAGGTGAGACGGCAAAACTGCCACCTGCTCTCTCTCATTTGATTTGTTTCTGTCCTTAGAGAGCCACAGGCAGTAACTCAGAAAAACTGTGGGAAACCGTGACAACAGGAAAAGTGATTTTCCAAGCACACCTAGAACATCAGATTTTCTTCCTCCACGACACTCAGTCTGTGTCAGTAATCTGACGGAAATGCCAAAAGGAACTTGAGGGCAGACCGCAGACGCGCTGTCCCTGAGCTGCCGTCCTTGGTTCCTGCCCAGACGTCCCTCGGGGCCGACCCCAGAGAAGGCTCGCGCGTGCGTGTGGCTGCCGAGGATGTCGCTTACAGCTCTAAACGTGTCGTCAGCGTGCCGCCGTCTCATGGTCCTTTTCTCGGACAGCTGCGGTCCACCTCCTCACAGAGCCTTCGCCAGAACCCCAGCCCACGTTGGCGCAGGTGCGCAGAGCCCCCACCTCGGGAGCTGTCGTGGGCTCTGGGTCCCAAAATGGGACTTGCACTCTGCTTGCACTGTTCCCGGGTCACAGGTCGGAGTCTCACCAGCCAGGTGTTCTGGTGAAATCCACAGGCCAGACGTCTTTTGTTATTCTCAGTAGCAACCGGCAAGGTGCGATACACTTGATGTTTTCAAATGCGGTCCATGCACAGGGGCGATTACATGAAGGAGCACCCACTTTTACAAAGCGGCAAACGGGGTCACGGAGTCCACAGTCGGCTCTTTCGCCTGACGGCAACGGGCCAGTGTTCTGACTTTAAGCCTGCTGAACACATTACCCCGACTGCGCTGCAGTAGCCGCTTACCTATTTTTGAATCCAGAGAGCCCTCAAAGTCAGCTTCGGCCAAGATGACGACAGGGACCTCCTGCTGGGTGAGCATGTTCACAGCTGTCACGGGCGTGCGGCAGTCTGAAAACGAGAGCAAAGACCGGTGGGTACCACTCGGCTGGGGCCGCCCGAATCTCAGAGGAGACAGGTGAGAAACATAAGCATCTGAACGCCTGTGCTTTGTGCTAAGAGTTAAAGAGCATGCGCTTTGAAGGCTTTAATTGGATAATTCACACCAGCAGAAAATCAAAAGATTAAACAAACACATGAAAATGTCCGTCCGTGCTCATAAAGAAGTGAAAATGGCATTTTTACTTTCCAGATGGCGGAGGAACGACATTCCCACCACCCCCCTTTCCTTTTGAAAGACACCCCAAGGAGACAGTTGAACGAGCAACAGAGAAATCTACCTATGGTAAAACTAGGAGACGTCTGGAATTCCAAACCGTAACACCGGAAGGTAGAAGTAGACAAGAGAGCAGAAAATGGCTGAGCAGAGAGACTTGCAGACACACAAAGTCGAAACAGTTTCTTGCCACGCACCCTTCCCTAGGAGATACTAAAGCATGTGTTCCAGCAAAATGAAGGGGTAAATCAATACGGAGACAGACACGGGATCCGGGAAACAGAGGACCGACACAGGACAGAGAGCAGGGGGATATCCGCAGAACACAGGCGGGGGGGAGTCCCAGGAGGAGAGGGGAGCAGCAGGGGCCCGGAGGGCGACCAGGTCAGTCGTGAGCAGGACACAGGGCCCAGGGAGCATCTTCAGGATAAAAAGGGAATTGATACATTTGTCTGACAGGTTAGAATATGTAGAAAACCACAGTGCGAAGAGTTTTAAAGAGCTTCAGGGAGGGTGTGGGAAGACTTAGAAATTCAAAGAATACCAAAGCAAATGAAAAAAAAATGAAGACATCATGAACTTCAGGAAAAACAGAAGGTTATATAGAGAGGAAAATGGAATCACAGTATCCTTGGCTCAGCTGTGAATGACATTCATGGGGTCACAATAAACACTCCGTCTGGGACTATCCAGAACAGCGTGCCATCTCAGACGAAGCCAGCTACAGCGCCGCGGCAGGGGGATGAGCCATTCGCACAGGAACCTGCGCCATGTACACGGAGAACTGGGAAGACAAAGACCGAGTCCCAAAAGAGGTGAGGAGAGGATGACCTCAATTAGTGAGTTCACCTGGGCTTACTGCGGCATAAGCCTTTATGAACTCTTACTGTTTGTTCTTGCTGTGTTTTAAGCCTTTCTAATTATCTAAAACATGTTTTACAAACCCCAAAGTTAAAATAAGCCTGGTAACCGGGAGTTATTTTTCAGAGGTAAAGGCAGGCTCCGTAGGCATCTGAGCCAGCTCTGTCCTCTTTCATCCCAGGTGTCAGGAAGACAGGCTGGGGAACGGCGGGGACAGAGTGAAATGTGACCCGCATGGGTCCCCGGGGCTGAATTCAGCCAGCAGGCACGGCACCGCGGCACCGCGGCTGGGAGGCACCTGCTGCCCAAGCTGCTGAAGGGCTGAGACTCTGCAGAGCGGAGACCCAGACTTCTGGATCCACGTCGTCCCATCTCAATGACGAGGTGTACGTGGGCAAATTCTGCAGTGACGTAATGTTATGAGAAGGATGGAAGGCGAGAGGACAAGCACGAGGTTATGTCTGGAACTGGGGGATCCAGAGAGGGCAGTCCAGGCCTATCCTGCCGGCACAGGGAGGCCTGCACCAGAGACACAGCGTGTGGCGCGAACGGCCAGCTGACCCCGTCCATGTCTGCCCTGCCCACCCCCATCTGACTCAGCAGTGACACCTCTGGTTGGACACATGGCAGCAGAGCTAACGGCGGCACCGAGCAGCACCGCTGACACTAGTTGTGGCCACGGGTACTGCAGAAGCAACGTCTAGTTCACGCCCTCAAAGGGAAGGGGCGTATGCTTCTTCCCCACCCCATCCTCCCCAGGATGAAGGGCGGAGCATGTCAGACCTCGCAGACAGGGCGGGGCTCCAGCAGGGCGGGGCTCCAGCAGGGCGGGACCCAGCAGGGTGGGGCGGGAGCCTGAGAGCGCCTGGGCCCACTGCCTCACCGAGCAGACCTGTCAGGACCACTCTGAGCTTCACGTGGGCAAGAAATAAACCTGTCTTTTTAAGTCCCTGTTTTCCTAGGACTCTGTCACAGTCACCAGACTCACAGTTTAAGTAACAGACGCCCAGAGGAATGAGCACTGGTGGGTGAGAAGCTACTGCCGCTGTTAGTAGCACTCTCTGACTTGCCATGTGATACACACATACCACCTGGACTGTAAAAAACAAATTAATTTTTAAAAAGAGAGATGGAATTAAAGTAATCTTGAAGAACTTTCATTGCATGCCCAAGGCGGCAAACCCTTTGGGAAGGGCTGGCCCAGTGTTCGTGCAGCCGAGCTGACCCCCACCTGCCGTGGGAGAGCACCCGTGAACTGACGCGGCCTGTTCGGAAACCGGGCAAAGCGACTCGGAGCAGGAACTGGAAGAACGTTCACAGCCTCTGACCAAAAAGACTGCTCTCTCGGGAGTCTCTAAGGAAGTCATCCCGTGGGGGCGAAGAGCGAGGTGGCCACAAATGTCCACGGCAGCCACCTTTGTCACAGCACCGAACGTGAAAGTGGCCACATGCTCACTATGACGGGAAAGACTGAGGATGTCACGGAAAAGTGAGTTGACAGAGTATTATGTATGGGTTAAGAAACAATTATGAAGTCCGCAGGAAAAAAGGTTTTTTTCTGATGTCATACTGAGTGAAGACCAAGAGTAAAGACAAGCAATGATTCTGAAGGCACACGCGTGTGGACGCAGGAATTAAAAAGTAACAGGACCCACTTCCAGCCAAGATGGAGGCGTAGGTGGACACGCTGTGCCTCCTCACACAACTAAAATTAAGGATGACAAAGATTTAGAAACCAAAAAACAACCAGAACTGACAGAAAACTGAACTGTACCGAAGTCCGACAACCATTCATCCAGACTGGTAGGAGGGGAGGAGAGGGGTCACGACAGGAAAAGCGGTGGCTGGCGGACCCCCAGGCGCAAGGTGGCAATGGGCAGACCCAGTGAGACGCGCAAGGTGGCTGGCTGACCGCAGTCACACATGGCACACAGATAAACCAGGCAAAAACAGGCAGTGGGACAGACCGCGCAACCCAGGGCGCCAGAGCCGGGAAATAAAGTCTAAAGCCACTGATTGAAAACACTTGTGGGGGTTGAGGTGGCGGGAGAGACTCCCAGCCTCACAGGAGAGTTCGTTGGAGAGACCCACAGGGTCCTAGAACGTACAGAAGCCCACCCGCCCGGGAACCAGCACCAGAAGGGCCCAGTTTGCTTGTGGGAAGCAGCAGAGGGGACTGAAATCTGAGAGAGAACGGAACAAGTGCCATTGTTCCCTCTCAGACCCCACCCTGGTGAACACCTCAGGCTCCACCACTCATACATAACAGGCACAACCAGACCAAAAGAAAAAAATGGCAAAGGACAAATAACAAAGAAGAACTTCCCTGATCTGGAGAAGGAAATAGACTTCCAGGAAATCCAGGAAGCACTGAGAGTCCCAAAGAAGTTGGACCCAAGAAGAAACACACCGAGGCACATCATAATTACATTAGCCAAGATTAAAATGAAGGATAGAATCCTAGAAGCAGCAAGAGATAAGGGGACGGTCACCTACAGAGGAGTTCCCATCAGACTGTCAGCTGATTTCTCAAAAGAGACCTTACAGGCAAGAAGGGGCTGGAAAGAAGTATTCCAAGTCACAAAAGGAAAGGACCTACATCCAAGATTGCTCTATCCAGCAAAGCTTTCATTTAGTATGGAAGAGCAATAAAGTGCTTCCCAGATAAGGTCAAGTTAAAGGAATTCATCATCACCAAGCCTTTATTTTATAAAATGTTAAAGGAACTTATCTAAGAAAAAGATAAAAAACATGTACAGTAAAATGACAGCAAAGTCACAATTACTAACAACCACACCTAAAACAAAAACAAACTAAGCAAACAACTAGAACAGGAACAGAACCACAGAAATGGAGATCACATGGAGGGTTAGCAACAGAGGAGTGGGAGGAGGAGAAGGGGGGAGAAGGTACAGAGAATAAGTAGCATAGACAGTAGGTAGAAAATAGACAAGGGAAGAGCAAGAATAGTATGGGAAATGTAGAAGCTAAAGAACTTGTGACATGTGGACATGAACTAAAGAGGGGAATGTGGGTGGGAGGGGGTGTGCAGGGTGGCAGGGAATGAAAGGGGGGGAATGGGACAACTGACATAGCATAATCAATAAAATATATTTAAAGAAAAGTAACATGACCCTGCCAATGAAAAGGCAGGAAGTTGAATCCTACCTCTCCTTATTAAAAAATTAACTAAAAACTAAATAAAGACCTAAATGTAAGATCTAAAACTATAAAAGTCTTAGAAAATAATAGGTGTAAATCTCCTTGATCTTCGATTAGGCAAGTTTCTTAGATAAGACACCAAAAACTAAAGCCAAAAAAAAAGATAAATCGAACTTTATCACAATTAAAACTTTTGTGCTTCAAAGGACACCATCACGAAAGTGAAGAGACAACCTACAGAATGGGAGAACATTTTTATAAATGATAGATCTGGTAAGAAACTTGTATCTAGAATATGTAAAGAATGATCAAAACTAACTAAAAAACTCGATTTACAGAGGGGGTGGGGATAACGGAGGAAAGAAGGGGAAAGGACCCATCAAAATGCCTGTAGGAATGACCCGGGGACGTGGACAACGGTGGGGGGACCGACTGTGGGAGCAGGGGGAGGGCTGGGTGGAGGGCAAAAGCGGGAAAAAATGGGACAACTGTAATAGAGTAACAATAATAATTTACAAAACCAATAAAAACATGTAACGTAATTAAAAAATGGGCAGAGGATCTGAGTGGACATTTCTCCAAAGAAACACGAATGGCCAGTAGCACATGGAAACCTGCTCGACATCACTAGCCAGGAGGTGAACACACATGCCAACCACAGCGGATGCCCCTGCACACCCACGAGGAGGACCACGGTCACACAAGCGCTGGCGAGGCTGAGGAGGAACCGGAACCCTCACGGCCTGCCCCCTGCTGGTGGGAACAGCACACAGCGCAGCTGCCGTGTGAACCAGGCGGACATCCCTCAGCCGCTTGAACACGGTCACCATGTGACCCCACTACTCCACTCCCAGGTGGACACTCCAGGAATGAAAACGAACATCCACGCAAAAATCCGCACGAACGTTCACAGCAGCCTTATCAACGTAACAGCTAGAAAGCGGAAACAACTGATACAGCTGTCAAGTGGTGAACAGATGAACACACCGCGGCCTCCCCCGACGGGGCGTCGTTCTCACGCAACGAGGGAGGCAGTGCTGGTGGCACTGCGGCACGGGCAACCCGAAAACAGGACACTCGGCGAAAGAAGCCAGTCGCACACGGGCGAAGACCGCAGGTTCCGCTGAGACGCAGTGTCCAGAACGGGCCACGCTGATGGGGACAGAGAGTGGGTAAACGGCTGCCCAGGGCTGGGGCAGCGGGGGGCAGGGGGTGCCCACTACCAGGTCCGAGTGTCTTTGGGGGCCGGATGAAAATGCTCTAAACCTGAGTGTGTGGCAGTTGTATGGCTCTGTGCGTGCCACTAAAACCATTAAGTCATACACTTTCAGTGAGTGAATTCTGCAGTATGTGAATTATACCTCAACAAAACTGATACAAGAAAAACATGAAAAAATATAGAGTACTGCATTAAGGGGCTGGATTTTTTCATCTTTCCCATAAAAACTGTTATAAATTTTTTTAACTATTTTATTTATTTTTAGAGAGAGGGGACGGGAAGGACAAAGAGTGGGAGAGAAACATCAATGTGTGGTTGCCTGTCACGTGTCCCCTACCAGGGACCCGGCCGGCAACCCAGGCATGTGCCCTGACTGGGAACTGAACCGGTGACCTTCGCTTCACAGGCCCGTGCTCAATCCACTGAGCTACATCAGCCAGGCCTGTTCTGCATTTTTAATTAGAAAAAATTTGGTCTTTAAACAAATATTAGCAGATTTGTAATGACAGTACAATAGCAAAATACATGCTTGCTACGCTGGGTCAGAATCTGCTTCTTAAAAAGAGCACTACTAACATCGGAAGTTCCTAAGTCCAGGTTTCCCCACATTTCTCGTAAATCACGTGCAGGTGATGCAATGCCGGAGGCCAAGGAAATCAAGAACAAACCCGAAGCCACTGAAGCGCTCGGCACAGCCAGCACGTAACAGCTGAACGTGTTGTAACTACAATGGGAATGTCCTGGGCGAAAGGGTGCCCTCCGCGCTCAGGCCACACACTGCCAGGAAGGCAGGTCTTCTGTGCCTTCTGGAAAAACGGCTACGTGGCTTCCAATCAGTGGCCAGCAAAGCTGTGAGTGCCCTGTGCCGTGGTCCCCGGGGACACTCTGTGGAGACGGGGTTCTGTGCTCATGCAGTGTGACAGGCACTGCTTGACTCCTGCTCTTCGGCGGTCACGGCACACATCAGCACAGCAAAGCTCCTGAGATGCCCAGCAGCAGAGGAAACTGGGGATTTCTCTTCCCTCCAGGTTAGGGGGGCAGAGAAGCCCTCCACCCCCAGAAACCTCCCTTTGCCAGTAGAAACACTTGGTTCAAGAATGAACTATTTTCTGTTCCACCTCATGCGGACACTGGAGGGAGGGTGAGACAATAGTGAGCAATCAATTGTTTGATGCTCTGGAGCTTCCAGAAGATGAGGCTACTGCTCTCCAGTGTGTCAGCGACAGCCCTTTAGAGACCTCATTTACTCTTTCAGCAAAAAAAGTGCCTTGCACAGACCCCTGGTGACTCAGCGCTGGCATGAATGGTTCCAGGGCTCAGGGTTCGACTATTTCAGCGAGTATTAGGAAGTAAGAAAAGACTCCAGGAAAAGCCAGGACAGCTTCTAGAACCCTGGTGGTATTTCCCTCTTGATGCTTTTAATGGCTTCCAGTCCCTGTCAAGTTGGAGCTCACATAACAGGACGTCGTCAGCGGCGGCCAGCCAAGAAAGAGGTGATGTCAAAGGGTGCGGAAAACTCGATGCCAAAAACCCCACAGAGGGGGACCTCACTTCCTGCTCTCCTGAAGGAATCTGTACCGAATTATGGGGTGCTCACAAAACCCAGTGCATGTCGTCAGTGACGACAGCAACCCAAGCCAGAAGTCAGGGAGCTCTGTCCCTGCCCCTCCACTCAGAGCCGTGCTGTCCCTCAGTCTTCACCGTCTCCTCACTAATGGGGGACACTGCCCTCCTGCCCTACTCTGCCCCTCCTGCCACCCTCTGCCACCCTCCTCCTCAGTGCCAGTCACAAGTGCCTGCTGCCCTGACTTCCCGTGGTCACGGCTCTAACTCGAGGAAAAGCCCAGCCACCTGGCTGCGGTGAGCCCGCCGGCGATGGGAAAGGACGATGTTCGGGTTTCGGGTGCGACTTCCAAGGCCACAGGAGGCACACTCCATCCTCTTACGGCCGTTCTAATCCACCTTCCGGGGAAACTGCATTATACTCAGAGCGACCTGGCCTTCCGTGATTAATGCCGTGTCAACTGCAAATTCAGCTAGAGACTTTGAATAAACTGACATCCACAAAAAGAATACTTCCACTCTGAAAACGAGAACTGGAACATTTAGAGGCACGTGTGATGTTCCAACTGGAATTATTTCAGACATTATTCAGAGAGAGGAGAACGCAGCTAATGAGTCACTCACGGCTGAAACGGCGTGGTCAGGCCCGGACAGATGTGCCGCCGCCCGGCTGATTGGGAAGACACTGCTCTTGGCGTTTCTCACACATGAAAATGTTTTAAATGTACACAGTGCTTTTCATGTCAGGAATGCCATCTTTATAGCTCATTAGCTCATTCACCTCCTGTTCATGTTGCCTCATTTTAATTTGTGTCCCCAAATTAACCATAAGAAAAAAAACCTAAGGGCTAGATGTTTACACTTTGAGAAATTATTCAACCATCATGCCCCGAGGACCATCGAAATACTCAGGACAGCAAAGACTGTGGGTTTTCCCTTGAAACCAAATGGTGGAAGATCCTGATTTTTGTGAGTAGAGAATAAAGCCGAGAGCGAGCTACTTTGGGCCTTATAAGCACACAATGCAATTTCAGAGTCTTTTCTCAATTTCGGTCTACAACAGCAAAAGAGATGAAACCCAGTCATGTGCCTGTGCCGGGTTGATGACCCACGGGAAGGTCATCTACGTGTCCCCGAGGGCGCAGCACGTCACAGGCTCTTAGGAAGTGCTGCCTGGCTTGGACTCTGGCTTTCAGGCTGTAAGGAAACCATCAGAAGTTGAAACGACATTGTCTGTCCTTCCAACTTGATGTCAGGAAGTGTTTTGTTCTGGTGATGTGAAGAACAGCAATTTGAAAAACAAAAAAAACTTGATCTCACCACGCAAAACATTTTTGTGAGTTAAATAATTCAAAGAGATCCTAGTAAGTCAGACTGTGCGTGCTGTAGCTTACATGCTACAAAAAGAGAACAGGGGTGAGATTTTCATAGAAATACTTAACATTTCTCTGAAGAGCTCATTCTAATCCAGAGGGGACTTCCTTCCGCCTGCCCAGGACCCCTCACCCCTTCCTCTGGGAAGAGCCTCTGAGTGTGATTTGGACAGCTACCCCCTCCCCACTGGTGAGTCCTCGGGGGCCCATCAGGAAAGACACCTGGCCTGCCCTTGGCCGATCAAAAGGCACTCAGACAGCTGTCCCAGCAGCAGGAGTCTTGAACCCAGTGTCCCCAGCACTGGGAGATGGGCGGGGCGGGGGGCATCCCCCATTCAGGGGCACTCCCCCGCTGCCCAGACCCCCAGGGCTGCAGCCCGTATCTGTCCCTTCCAGACGGGCTCTTCAGGACCTCCTCTGGTCAGCAAGCTCCCCAGAACCTCCCGGTGGGTCCCCCTCTCTCCGGGTTAGCTGGTGGTGGGTTCTGAGCCCACAGTCACAGAGCCTGACACAGCGGCCCTCCCGAGTCCTTAGTGACCGGTTATATTTGCTAGGCCAGTCCCAGGGCACCTGCATCTGTCCGCTGAAGACCACCAGGGAGCAGGGCTCTGTCTGCTCAGATGACTATGTGAATTCATTCAATAATCAAATGAAGTTGTTGAGAACATTGCCTAATTCTCAGCGGCTTCCTTCCTGCCCGTCAGGTCACTTTTATTTGATGATGGAATTATGCATGAAGCGGGAGAGTTTATTCCTATCAGAAAAGAGCTTTAAATCTAGGCTCTATTGTATTTAAAGGCAAAGTGCTGAGCTTTCAGCTGGGAACTCAAGAAGCACACAATCGAGTAATCACAGTGGAACCGTGGGGGACGGGGGTAGTAATGTAACATTTTCAAAGCTCTTTTGTAATCCTTGTGCTTTACAGTAAAGAAACAGAAAGCCCAGCCGAGGTAAAGACCGAATCATGCACACGACCGGAGAGAGGCCGTGAACCCCGGAGGGGCTGCCGGGTGCCGCGGAAGGCCCGTGCTCCGGCCCCGCCCCAGCCGGCAGACTCACCTTGGCCCGGCACCAGCGCCTCTCGGAAGGCCTCCTTCAGGGAGCTGTGCCCGTGCAGGAGTCTGTGGCTGGGAGTGACAGCAACGTGGGACGCGCCGTAAATGGCCTCGGGGGTGGCCGTGTAGGCGGTCAGCTTTTCTCCTGTGACTTGCCCGTCAACCTGGAGGGGGGAGAACACAGTCATTTCACTTCCGGTCCTCCCTCTGAGCGGCTGGGCCCCCAGCTCGGTCCCCGTCCCGCCCCCTCCTCAGTGGCCAACACTGGGGCCAGCTTCTGGCTGCAGCCCCAGGGGTGTGGGACCCGAGATGGACCCTGGCAGGGACAGAGGAGGACAGGAGAGAAGAGGCTCCCCCTTCAGAGGCCCTGCCGAGTGCCCACTGCCAGGCCCCTGACCACAGCAGGTCGCGCCACGCTCAGAGAGAGGCCACCGGTTTCCCCAGCTCCTTTGTTCATGAGTCAGAAGTAACTGTCGACGTTACAGTCCTTGTCCTGAGAAAGGAGGTACGTTCTCCTGCAGGACTGACGGTCTGGTAAAAGCCGAGGCACCTACTCTTCCCACCAGAAACGGTCACTGAGGGTGACCCTGTTTGGAAGAGGAGAGAAAGGACAGCCTGGGCTTCACGACAGCGTGTTCCCAGGGCTGGTCAAATGCCTTTCGAGGAGGAGGCTCATCAGGCGCTGACTGCAGGACGATTATGCGACAGAGGACACAGAGCTCCTTCCTCCACACGCTGCTCAAACGGTATGAGTCCCAACGGCATGTGAGGCACGTACGTCCTGGAATCCAAAGTCTCCCCTGTGGCCTGTGTCCCAATTCGGTGGCACCTGCAGATCAGGCCTGGGGCCACAGAGGCACAGCCCCCTGGCCCTGTACCTGCTGGGCTGTGCCCCCCCCAACATCTCATCTTTGGGGGATCCGGGACGGAGATGGGGACCTTTCCATCATGAAGTGTCGGGAGGGGGGAGAAGGAAGGAGACATTCCACGTGCAGCAGCCGAGGGGCTGCGGGACCCACCCTTCCCCTGGTTGAGAAGCAGAGGCCTGTGACGTGGGACCAGACCCAGGTTGACACACAGTACCCCGAGAGGGTGGCCCCGAGAGCCTGGCCGGAAGGCACAGATGCGGATCTCACCCCCGTCTCTGAGAAGCTACGGACATCCTGCCCGTAGCTTCGGGGAGTTCAAGGACCCCCACAAGGCCATCTGCAGCTGGGCGGTCGGATATGGGGGCCACGGGCACTTGAAATGTGTGTGCCGTTAAGTGTAGAACAGAGCAGATTTCGAAAGCTCTGTATTAAAGAGGGTTAACTCTCTCCTTCATGATTTTTTTCATTGAACACATCTTAAAACAGTAACATTGTGAATACAATGGGCGGAATAAAATACGTTATTAAAGTCAATGCCGCCTGTTTCTCTGGACTTCTAAAGTCGTGGCTACTGGACAATTTGAAACTCCGCAAGTGATGTGTCCCCTTCCTGCCGGACGGCGCTGCCGCAGAGCCCGCGCCACTGGGTGCAGCCGTGAGCCTCAGCAAGGCGGAGGGGGCCCGTGAGCACTCCCTGTGGGAAAGGCCACTGCTCGGTCACCTTTAACACGAAGTCCAGATGGCAGCCCGCGCAGTCCCCGATCCAGTGGGCCTGCATGCCTTTTATTCCGTACCACTCCGGCAGGTCCGCCAGCCCGTCCCGCATGGCCTGCAGGAATGAAAGAGAACAAAGCGGGAGATTTGCGCGGGGCTGGAGCGAGCAAATGATGTGAGGCTTGCTGAGGGAGGGTATCGGGGGAGGCTCAGGACTAGGTCTCTTCTCGTTCACCACCGATCAGAGGGGCCCAGCAACAACGACAGGCACCCTGATTCGATTCCGGGAGATGGGTTTGACCGATTTCTCTATTCTGAGTGGGTCAAGGTTTCCCGGAAGGAGGAAAACGAGCAAGGAAAGACCGTGATTCATGTGTCTGGTGAGTATGGTTAGCCCATCCTCTCTCATAGGCTGGGAACTAAACAAAAGAAGTTCAAGCTTACTTATTTTGAAACCACAATAAACCCTTCATGTTAAGGGTGTTCCACAGCACAGCTGGACCATGTGAAAACATATTACAGCTTTGCCTTTGAAAAACAAAAGTTGATGGAAGGAAAACCACCACCTTGATTTATATAAACACTTGCCATTAGAAGAGCATATTTATTTTCGTTGTTATCTGTCTACTTCTAATCCTAAATAAAACGGAAGTTTGTTCCAATACCTCACTTCCTGTGGCCTCAAGCACATGCCAGCCAGCATCATTTGATGACGAGACACATTCCTCCACCAGACAGATTTAAAAGTAAACCACGTATTTGTAATGTGAAGAGTCCAATTTAAAATTCCTCATTGGATTACGATGGAAACAGGCAACACAACGATGCTGTGTTCGTCTGGTGCTTTGTAATTCATAATGTGCTTTCACGCCCACCTCCTCGCTTCAGACCCTCTCCCCGGCAAGGCTGCAGGGATGGGCAGTGCCCACGCCAGACGCACCGCCCGCCTGCTGTCCCCGTGGCTGCAGGGACGCTTGTGCGGTCGTGACAAACAGCACAGAGCACTTTCTGTGCCTGGCTCCCAATCCATTCTCGTCAGAACCGTGTGAAAGCTTCACGACCCGGAAATTTCTCTGGAGGCAGAAACTGTGGATAAGGAGTGCCATCAGGCTGACCGGCACTTTGTCCTTCCGCACGGGGACCTCACGAGGACCAGGCACTCGGGGCCTGGGCACACACAGCAGGATATGCCAGAGGCCCTCACTCGAAGTTCAAATGCACCAGCCCCCTCACCCATGGGGGTGTGCCTGAAACCACGCCGGCACTGGACCCTGTACCTACTATGCTTTTGTACCTACTATACTTTTGCCTATAAAGGTTAATTCACAAACCGGGCACCGCAGGAGACGAACAACAATGACAATACACTGTGATACAAGCTGTGTGAATGTGGGCTCTGATCGCCGAGACGGCCACTGAGCGGCAGCGGGCGGGCAGCGCACACAGTACTGGACAAACACACCCCGGGCCAGACGGAGTGGGACCGAGCGAGAGGCCCTCGTAAGACTCCAAACAGCATGGCATCGAAAACTCATGAGTCGCTTATTTCTGGAATTTGCCAGTTAACATTTTTCAACCACCTTTGACCACAAGTAGAAACCGTGAAAAGTGAAGCTGGATGGAGTTGCAGGAAGGGGGGGGACACCTCTGGAACCCACAAATGACACCTAGTGCTACTGGCTGGGTAACTGATCAAAACTCAACACCAAATGCCATCTGCATGGAAGAACGATGGGACCCTGGTGGTGGAGCTGAGTCAAGGGGAGAGAAAAGCCAGTGGGAAGGGAGGGAGGAAAGGGGCAGAGAGAAGAGCAGGAGACGGGAGGGAGCTGGGCGGGGGGACCGCAGGGGGGACGGAAAGTCACAAGGGCTGAGTGGGTGCAGAATAAAATCTCCAAAAAGAAGTGAAAGGAAGGAAAACAAGGAGAATTTGAAGACAGAAGCAAGGCAGGTACCAGGGAAATGGTGCAGGTGAGGGAATGAAAACTGAGGAAGGAGGCGTGTCTACGGTGGGCAGTGTGCAGGCAGCTGGAGTGTCTGCCCGCAGTCGGCTGCGACGAACAGCAGCCGCGCTGAACAGCCCGGGGTAGTGCTGCCTGGCCCACGGCAGGGGGGCCTCCCGCAGCCCGGCCATCGGCCCCGAATGACAGGCAAAGGAAGGAGGGGAGAGGCTCCACTGAGGCTAAAATAGGAATCAGACGCGTGTGTGTCAACTGGGGAAAGGACGGCACTGGAAAGCTCGGCGAGGAGGTCCAACTGTCCCTTTAACACGAGGTCACGCCAAGGCTCAGTGAAGGGAGGTTCCCTTCCTTCCTGCTGCCAGGGAACCCCAGGATGTGACACTCGGCCTTCCTCAAGGCGGAGACCCAGCTACCCAGCTGGTGATGGGGGGTCAGTTTTAACACCTGACGGTTCGGCATGGCCTGCCCTTACTCACTCTGTGACGACAGAACTGCGTCCTACCAGGAAGGCCGGCCCCGTCTCCCAGGGTGGGGTCAAGGGCACGTGGAGTCGCTGTTTTAAGGAAAATGAAGAACAGACCAACATGTGCTGATGTCACAGTGCTCCGGCTTCCTGCGACTGGGAGAAGGCTTTCCACAGGAAACTTTAAGTCTGTTATGGTTATAAATACAGTTGTCCAGAGGGACCACTGTGTTTCTCTATTTGTCTGAGCGGAAAATGACTTCTGAGGAGGCAGAAGTTTTGCCTCAGGTTCCTGACTGTTTATTATGTTTCCACTAGAGAGACCGGCTTTCGGTGTCTCAAAAACACCACACCTGCCCCGTGGCTTCGGCACATGCTGCGTTCTCGCCAGGGAACCCCGCTGCCGCGCCCTCTGCGGCGGCAGCTGAGAGAGGCGCGCCCAGGCCATCCTGTCTAACGCAGGCGCCCCTCCTGCTCCTGGCTCCTCTCTGTATCTCTAGGGCTCCTCTCCACCTGCTGGCTCGTTTGCCAACAGTCTGTGCCCCCAGGAGCCGGGACAATGCTCCCCCACCATATACGCAGCACCTCCAGTTCCTGGTACACAGCGGGCACATTGCACATGGGAAAAAAACGAGTGAACAAGAAACAGGCCTCCTCCCAAGACGTGTGGACACCGACCCTTGTCCCTGCCCTCCTGATAAAGACGAGGAAGCCGGCCTCTGAGCACCTGCCATCCCCAGGGCTCTGGCTTCAGCAGACCTGTCCCAGCGGTCACACTGCTGACAGGGGCAGGTGGCCTCGTCCTCCCGGGGCACGGGCAGCGGGCGCCTGGCCCTTCAGTGGGCCCCTTGGTGGCCTTTTAGCTTCACTGGCTTCCCTGCCCTTCCCTCTCAGGGGTCTCAAAGGGCCTCAAGCCCTTGACAGTAGGTGTGCAGTCTCACTTTAAGAGAAAATTACAAAAGCCTCCTCCGCCACCCCTCAAAATAGACAATCTCAGATTTATTTGGGGGTGTTTAAAAATCATAGTGGTGGCTTTAAGGCAGTGTTAGATCTTGATTCACCAAAAAAAAGCTAAGTTATATTCCATTATGTAGTGTATATGTATTTAGTTGGACGTGAATTCTTTGGAAACTAACTGACCACATATATAAAGGGTACATACTCACACTCAGCTAACTCGGATATTTACTTGATTGAAAAAAGCACAGTACAATATACAGATGATGTATTATAAAACTGTACATTTGAAACCTATGTAATTTCATTAACCAATGTCACCTCAATATATTTAATTAAAAAAAATTTTTAAGCCTGTTCTAACTCTTTCAGATAAACGGTTTCTCTGGGTCATCCCTTCCGGATGGACACACACTGAACAGGAACCCGCAGAGCCATCTGACAGTTTAGGAACCTCCCCCAACCAGGCGGGCGCCCTCAGGAGCACGCCTGCGCCTTTCTTCCCCATTTCTTTCACCGGTGTGTTTTTCTCTCCCTCAGTTCTAAGGGTCCCCCCAAGACGTGCAACCGGGGGAGCAGTGGGCAGCAGCAGCAGCTTGTCTCGGGCTCACCCCTGGAACCTGTCCCCAAGGCCCCCTTTTCTCTGAGCTGAAGCTGCCCCGCCCGGGCTCTCCTGTTGCTTCTTCCATCCTAAACCCTTCCTTGTTTCACTGTCCCAGCTTTGACAAATGTACTCTCAAAAATATAAATTAAAACAAAGAAAAAATGTTCAAAACCATGAGAAACACAAAGGAGTTTCTGTTCCTGTCAGCACAGACCTGAACAGGTGAGCAATCACTCCGGCATCACTTTACTGCTGAGGACATGGGTCCCCAGGGGGTGAGCCATCTGCTCGCTGGCACTGGGCTACCCGGAGCCACGCCCAGCACTGGGGCCTTGTACTTCACCACTCGGCCCTCACTGGGCACTGCCTCTGCCTCTTCTCCCCACAGCACAGTGAACAGCTAGTGTCGCGGCCGCCCGGCACCCGGGTCCCTCCTCCCTGGGAGGGAACGGCCAGGGGAGTGGGCAGCAGTGCCCCACCACCAACGGTGGAAGCTTGAAGGGGGCTGCTGTCCCCACCCCACTTTCCTTCCCCATCGAAGCTAAACTGTGCGGCTGACCGAGGCTCAGTAAGTCCCAAGGTACCGTGGGGTGAGCCAGAAGCACAGGCCACCTGGGTTAAATGCCGCGGCAGCGGTGAGAGGCAGCAATGGCTTAGCCAGGCCACTCCTGAGACCAGACCCGAGCGGCACGTGCCCCGCTGTCCCGGCTCCTGCCCGAGCCCAGTTCCCATCCAGCTGGGGGCAACCCGACTGATCCTCTTCCCGTCAATTCCTTCTGCCTTAAGGGAAGCAGAGTAAGGCTAGGTGGCTTGCAAACAAGTTTCCTAACCACTACCCATGAATTCAAGAAGTCAGCACCCTGGTGCGCGTCTGTGTTAGCTGAAACTATGCTGTCTTGATGCCACTGTAACAAGTGTAAAATCATAACTATACCAATTACATAGTAACATAATAATAATAGTCTGTAAATAAGTCGTTAATATTCTAATAAAACTGTGCATTCTAGAAAGCCTTTCAATTTACGGAGCAGTTTCGGGCACAGACGTGTACGTGGTGCGTTACAAACTGTGAGTGGCCCATGGCTTTCCCCCTCCAGTGATCCACGAACAGCATTTAACTCCCCGGCAAA